GACTTAGCAAACTGTATTTCGTACTAAACAGTGTTCTGAATGAGGTCCAATCAAAATAATACAAACTCGAATAATTGATTTATTATATTTAAATAATTAAGGAATCATAACGGATTTATGTTCCTACTTCCTCATCCTTATCTTGAAAAAATTACCTCCTCCTTCGCCTTGTCCGGCTCAGGAGAGGAGCCAGTTACCGCACTCGGGCATTCAATTTAACTCAAAATTTCCTGGCAACTAATGTGAGAAGAATGAAACGATAAAGGGAAAGTACGAATTATAATGTCCTAAACAGTTTTTCATTCCCTTGTTTGTAAAAAAGCTCAGAACAAGAAATAAACAGGAAGGTTACTATTTCATACAGTTTAGTACTCATTCTTAATTTGGGAGAACGTACATTAAGTACAACTGGCTTATTGGGGTATAGACATAAGCTGGCTTTATTTTTTCCAAGGCCTGCCCCCTGAAGGTGGTTGGTTGAATTTCCCTTTCTTACTGGGCGGTAGCCCTCTTTGCAAAGTCTCATTTTGATCGCTTCATTTTTCATTCTCCTCCTGGCTGTGAGAATTCTGTCAAGCCATTATGTAAGATTCAGTTCTGCTCAAGTCTTCATTCTCCCCTCTGACCCTCCCGTCTCCTTACTTGACCAGGTTGGGTTTCGCTCCTCTCTGGGCTTGTCCTTGCTTCCCTGCAGTGCCCCGACTGGCCAGTAGCCCAGACATGGTGCGTCCTGTGAGGCAGGAATGTCAACGCTAGTTACTTGTGAGGTGAACCCGACAGCCCTGAAGGAATCTGCCCACGATACTGTCACCAGGTGTGGGAGAGTTAGATCCTGGAACCATCTGCCTTTATCCCATTGTTTGAGTCTGTTCAGGCTGCTCTAACAAAAACCATAGACTGCGTGGCATAAACAACATTTATTTCTCAACGTTCTGGAGGCTGGGAAGTCCGAGATCAAGATACCGGCGGATATGGTGTCTGGTGAGGCCTGCTTCCCAGTTCACAGATGGCTGTCTTCTCCACGTGTCCTCCTCACGTGGCAGAAGGGACAGACAGAGTATCTTTCTGGGTTCTTATAAAAGCACTAACTCCTTGGGGTGCCTGGGTGGCTCAGTGGGTTAAAGCCTCTGCCTTCAGCTCAGGTCATGATCCCAGAGTCCTGGGATCGAGCCCCACATCAGGCTCTCTGCTCGGCAGGGAGCCTGCTTCCTGCTCTCTCTCTGCCTGCCTCTGCCTACTTGTGATCTCTCTCTCTGTCAAATAAATAAATAAAATGTTTTTTTTAAAAAAGCACTAATCCCATTCCTGAGAGCTCCACCCTCTTATCTAATCACCTCCCAAAGGCCCCCACTTCCTACTACCATCACATGGGGTTTCAACATACGAATTTTGGGGGGCACACACATGTTTGGTCTACAGTACCCACCCAAGTGCTTGTAAGGCCACCTCAGACGGTCTACACCTAACAGAGGCATCTTAGAGGCCCCTTACCTGGCACCCTGTTGAGTGGCCCAGGCCCAGTCACCTTCCCCTGGTGATACCTTTATTGCAGTTCTGCCTAACAGTGGGTGACTGGCTGCTTCACAGAACCGCCCCCCCCCCGACCCGTTCTGACAACACTGTCTTCTTCCTTTCCCAAGGGTGCAAGGCGCTCTGCAGAAGAAGGTGGTTACTGGCCCAGGGATGGGGACAGGGAAGGAGGAAAGAGCCTCTCTTCTTGACCAGCAAACTCCTCAAAGGCTGGCCTCCAACCCCTTGGCCATGGAGCAGGGACATGGGGTGGTGGAGGCGGTGTTTGGTAGGATTTATTTTCCTGTTCTCAGTAAACCCTAGGCTGATGCCTAACAGCTCATGGCATGCTAAATTCAGAATGTGGGGTGTTTTATACCCAACTTTAGGCCTTAGCCTGGATTTCTGAACGACAGGGAAAAAACCTCCCTCAACATTTTATGGCCTAAGTACATGTGCTGAAAACGTATCATCAGTCATCAATTATCGATAACCGGCCTCCACCTTGGGCCTTAGGCTAGGATATACGGAGCATACAAAGGACTTAAATATATTTTCCTGTGGGCAAAGTGATACAGATTAATAGGGAGACTGATCAAATATGTTAACAAAACAATGCAGAAAATCAAAATACCCAGAACAATTATACTAGTATATGCTTTAATGTTATACCCGTTTTGCAGAAGAAGGGACAAGGCATATTTCTTTAAGTGGGTTGTAACTAGATGGCTTCACTTTATCCATGCTTTAAAATTATTTTTTTAAATTTGGGAATAATTTACAGAAGAGTCACAAAAATAGGAGAGAATTTCTATATATCCCCCATCAAGCTTCCCCCACTGCTAACATCTTCCATAACCATGATACAATGATCAAAACTAAGAAACTAACATCAGTGTAATACTATTTAAATGTGTATTTAAATAATACTATTTAAATAATACTATTTGACTATTAAAATGTGCACTTTTGGAGTGCTATCATTTTTTTCCCCACTAATGTCCTTTTTCTGTACCAGGATCCAATCCAAGTTACCATTATTCTATATTTAGTCATCAGGCCTCTTTGGTGTCCTCTACCCTGTGACAGTTTCTTAGTGTTTCCTTGTCTTTCGTGACTTTTACCATGGTTAAGAGTTCAGGTCAGGTATTTGTAGAAGGTTAGGCAATCTAGATTTTCTGACTTTTTTCTCATGATAAGAATGGGGTTTTGGGGGCACCTGGGTGGCTCAGTGGGTTCAAGCCTCTGCCTTCAGCTCAGGTCATGATCCCAGGGTCCTGGGATGGAGCCCCGCATCGGGCTCTCTGCTCAGCAGGGAGCCTGCTTCCTCCTCTCTCTCTGCCTGCCTCTCTGTCTACTTGTGATCTCTGTCTGCCAAACAAATAAATAAAATCTTTAAAAAAAAGAAAAAGAATGGGGTTTTGTGGAATTGGGGGAAGAATACTACAGAAGTGAAGTACCCTTCTCCTTGATCATAAAACTACCTGACTTATTACCATTGAGTTAATCTTGATCACATGGTTAATGTGGTGTCTGCCAATTTTTTCTGGTCTAAATTTGCCCCCCCTCCACCCCCACCAGCCTTTCCATAGTCTATTTGTTAGAAAAGAGTCACTAAATCCAGCCCACACTCCACACCAAAGGGAAGGGGAATTAACTTCCGGGGGAAGTATTGACTAATTTGTGGACGGACGTGTTAGAGTCATCATAGTAATGTATAAATATTTGGGGGGAGATCTTTGAAGCTATGCAACTATCTTATTTCTCTTTAAAGTGTCATCCACTAATTTTAGCATTCATGAGCATTCAGCAATTATTCTGTGGGGTCTTCTTTTTATTATTAAGTTTTTATTTTAATTCCAGTATAGTTAACATACAGTTCTGTGGTGTCTTAACAGTGATTTTCTTCTTTCTTCTATATTTATTATTCAGAATTGATCAGGAAGGAAGAGTTCTCCCTTTCCTCCATTTTATTCACTTGTTGGTATGGACTCAGGAATATTTACTTTGTTCTTTGACATACAAATTTATATCATAATTATTTATTTTTATGCTGAAATTGTTCTAGCTTTGCCCCCGGGAACTCTTTTAGATGGCTCCTTTTGATGTACCTTCATATTATCTTGTGTTTTCTTCCCCTGACACCCTCCTCTCTTTTTCTTTCTTTCTTTCTTTTTTTTTTTTTTTAAAGACCATCTACAAGATGGTCAAGCTCCCTGTCCCTGTGTTTTCCCTACCCCATCCCAGAACTGGCCATTTCTCCAAGGAGCTCTGGTTCCTTCTACTGACAATGAGATTTAGAAACCAAGACCTGGGTGCTGAGTGTGTTCATTTCTTCTAGGGTGTCAATTCTTCTAGACCCTCCAGTGGACAGAACTAAGAAATATATGTCTGCTAGCCTATGTATACACATATCTACATTTCTGTATTTATTCGTATATATATTAAACAAGAGTTCAAACTGTAGTTCCAACTCTAATTCAGTACCACAGAATTCATTGTAGCCTTTTTAAAAAAATGTTTTATTTATTTATTTATTTGACAGAGATCACAAGTAGGTGGAGAGGCAGGCAGAGAAAGAGGAGGAAACAGGCTCCCTGCTGAGCAGAGAGCCCAATGTGGAGCTTGATCCCAGGACCCCAGGATTTTGACCTGAGCCAAAGGCAGAGGCTTAACCCACTGAGCCACCCAGGTGCCCCCATTGTAGCCTTTCTAATAGTGAGAAACCTGCCCCTCTTTATCTATATTTACTTATTTGTTCCATCTTAGTATACATTTAAAGTAGTTTCAAGATTCCTAACCTATATACCTCTGAGATATGAATTTACCAACTAGAGTACAGTGTTTGTGTAGTTTTTTGTGTGTCTCTATCTTACAGTTTCAAGTGAAAACATGATTTCCCAAAGTTAATTAGACCAGCTCCTTTTCCTTCCCACCCCATTCATCTGTAATATAGTTAGCTTTATTTGTCTTAATCTGCATTCCATCATGGCTTCCCCTGACAGCGTGGTTAATTAAAAAAATTTACATACAGTAAAAGCCACTCGTGGTGCTATATAGTTTGTGTTTTGACAAATGCACCGAGTCCTGTATCCATCACCACAATACAATACGGAAGAACCCCACCAACCTAAAAATTCCTCTGGAGTGAACTTCCCTTTCCCTAAACCTGGCAACCACTGATCTGTTTTCCATCCCTATAGTTTTGCCTTTTCCAGAATGTCATATGAGTGGAATCATACAATGGGTAGATTTTTAGGTCTAGCTTCTTTCACTTAGCAAAATTTATTTAAGATTTGTCCATGTTGTTGCACAAACCAATAGTTCATTCCTTTTTCCTGCTGAGTATAGATAACTTTATTACATGGATTACATGGATATGCCACAGTTCATTTTTCCATTTACCTGTTGAAGGACATCTGGGTTATTTCTAGTTTTGGCAATTGTGAATAAAGCTGCTATAAATAGTCATATATGGGCTTCTATATGAACACAAGTTTTCAGTTCTCTTGGGTAAACACCCAGGAGTGGAATGGGTTAGCTGTATAGTCATTGCAGGTTTAAAAGAAACTGCCAAACAGTTGCAATGAATGACCCTCTGGTGTCCACATCTTCTCTAGCATTTTATTGTCCACACTCTTTTTCAACGGGAAACTGCCGCCCCACCCCAGCTCTGACTTTTTCCTTCTTTTTGGCCTCTGCCAGGATTACAAGGTAATCCATATTCTTGCTTTGTGTCCTGCTGGTATTTGCCAAGGTAACAATTTTGGACACCTCATGTTTCTACTGTGCATGGAAGTACTCTCATTTTAAATCTAGTAACCATCCTATAAGGCAGTTTCAGCAAACATTCTTAGGTTGGTATGAGAGTTACCAACACCCTGCTTGAGAAGAATTCCTTTCTGGCTTTCCCAGATGTTGGCTTTTGTGAGTCCCTTAACTTCTGTGTATCTCAGCCTCTTTGTAGTCTACCTGAAAGAACCCTGAAATACAAGGATGGTCAGTGGTCTACACCAGCCCCTGTAGTGGCTATGGATCCAGCAGGATAGACTACTCCACAGAACTCTTCAGCTGGGTGCCTGGGTTCTAATTCGTCAGGAAGGAGCTATGTGTGTGGCCCATGCTTAGAGTCCCTGTCTCCTGACTTGGCAGGTAGCACATTCTCATAGTCACTAGAAGTGTCATTTGACATTTCTTCTCCATGTTCTATCTGACTAGTCTCACTCTGTGCGGATGGCTGACAGGTCACAGGTTCCCCTAGAGCCAGAACCCTCCCTGATTGCATGACAAATTGGATGTGGGTATCTGGACTCTCCGTCCTGCCTTCTACGTGGTCTGTGTTTGAGGGGATCACTTCTTCTTCCACCTGCTGCTGGTTTCCATTGGTAAGTGCTGATGGGACATTTTCATAATCTCTATAGCACTGGAAAGCCATCTGGGGCTGCTTCCCCTGGAGGGTCTCAAGATTCAACCCTGCCATGTTGACATAATCATTCGAGGTCTCAGATGAGCCTTCGTCATCACTGAGTGGATCATCACTCTTGGATCTTGGAGACCAAAAACTGGTATGGTCACTGCCATTCCCATAGCCCTTGTCTTTTTCCTCAATAAGCTCCAGCTCCAGCTCCTGGGCACTTGGAAGGGCGAAGAGGTTCTCAGGGGTGCTGTTGGTAGAAGCTAGAGCCTTCGCAATCTCCTCTGCTGTGGGGACATTGATGTAATCTCTTGAATCCTCTGAAGAAATGTTCCGGCAGTCTCTGGCTGTTCTGATATTGACATAGTTTGCTGAGGGAGTAAGGTCCCCACACATCTGGAGCCATGTGGCATTGTCATAGATGCCCACTGCATAGCCATTGGCAGGAGCATGGTCTCCGTGCAGCCAGAGGCCATTGCCTGCTTGGGAGGGCTATAAGCAAGAAGAGAAAGCCAGTGACAGGATGGAAGCAGAAATACTGGCAAAGCCTTTCTCCTTCCCCATCCAGTACCGCTATCTGATAACTCCTTCGCTTGGTTCTCCACCTTGGAGAAAATGTCTAAGTTGGAGGTCTGCAAATGCAAAGCCTTAGATCCTAGGCAGGTATGAACAAAGTGGGTGAAGCTTAAGGAAAGCAACAGTGTAAATGTGATCATAAATTCCTACTGGATTCTGGCCACAGTGTGGGTGTTCAACGGAGAGTCTCTAGGGGGGAGTATTAGAAACTGGAGGGAGCGGATTGCCTCAGAGCCCATCACGAGGCAGTATAGCCTAGTGTCCAAAGGTAGCGACTCAGCCTTAGACTCAGGGTGTGAATCCCACCTTACTACTCTGTGTGGGCAAGTTACCTAATCCCTTTGTGCCTTTCTTCCCTAGCATATAAAATGGGGACAATCATAATACCGCCATAATATGGGTTCTGTGAGGTGTTAGTGTATGACTACATGTGAAGTGTATGGAAGGTTCCCCGCCCATGGAAAGCACTAACACTCTTGGCATTATTAGTAAAGGGGCAGCCGACATAGAGACTCAGCCCCTCACGGCCATTTAGGGACGCCGGTCTGCTGTTTCCAGAACTTCTGACTTTTCAAGAAAAGCTGGACATCCAGACTTTAATGTGAAATCTTTTCAATTTTTAGATGTTGGCAGCTGGCTCAAAGTATCATTCACATGCTACAGAGTCCAAGCCAGATGTGTTGTGGCCTTAAACTGGCTTGGGACTGAGCCCCGGAACTCACTTTGGCAGCGGAATTTCCTCTTCCCTGCATGTTATCAGCTTGGAGATGGGAACAGAGCCCAAGCGTGGGACACATGGGGGCGGGACCAGGAGGTGGCCGCATGGTAATGAACCCAGAGCTCTGGCTAATGAGAGGCTGGGGAGCATCGGGAGCAGCAGCTGTGGTTAGACTGTTTTCTTGAAACGACCGCAAAATCGAAGGGACCGATTCTTCCAGGAGTAAGAGAGAACTTATCTATGGGATGAGCCCCCGAGCTTCAAAGGCCTCCTTTTACTCTCTCTGGGGTCTCTGCTCCACAGTGTTACAGGACTCCTGCCTGGCGGCTGCCTCCAGATCATACAACACATACATTGACCGCAGCACTCCCCTGGTAACCTCGGAAATCCCCCGTTTGATCACTTTCTACACCAGCTACAGTCCTCAACGACTTACAAAGATACCTGCCCTTGAGGAGAACTGAAACAATTTGCCCCAGACCCCAGGAGGAATTCCCCAAGGAGGGTTTTAAAGATGTTTTGAGCACAAGCTGCATTGTTGGAATATTTGTGTACCCTCCTGAGGTGATTACTTGGAAAGGGACAATACTCTATTGGGATAAGCCGTTGCCTGTCTTTCTTAGAACAATCCACTTCTGTTCTGACATCATGTCCTTGAATACATGTGCTCTGATGCCATCCCCCAAGTCCCCAACAATTGTTTCCAGCTTTCTTAATTTTTCTCCCTGGGCTACAGAGAGGTCCTGAGCTCGTCTTCCTAATATATTAATAGGGTCACAGGGCACCTGCCGGGAGACGTGCTGTCTGTCAGGAAAGGAGATCTGTGACCTGAACTCGTTTACCTCAGTTCTGTCAGAGATATGCCATTTCTCCCAAGGGGCTCGTCCCTTCAGATGACTCTTACCACGGGCTCTGAAGGAGGGCTATTGGAATTTCTGGACAGGAGGCTCTCGGTACTAAAAATACGGTTACCTCTTGACTGACGTCTCCCTGAAAGAACAGAGAATGAGTCCTGAAGCTGGCAGGCCAGTCCCTGAACGCTTCAGCCTAAAAAGTCCCCGCAGAGAGGGTGAAGGGGCTTCTTGTGGTATCTGGTATTTGGGGCTCGGTGTTCCGTGTCAAGAGGGTCAGAGCTGGGGGAATGATGTGCTCTGAGGCTTGGGACTGTCCTCGGTTTCTAGCAAGGACCAGAGGGCACTAACTAGCACAGTGGTTCGTGGCTCCTGAGGCAAAACTTATCCACCTGTAATCCCGGAGGCCATGTTCTCCTTCTGTATGTCTCCCCCAACCCTAGACATACCCATCTGTCTTTGGCCAACTTCATACCAAGATAAAACAACCCCTCCCCTAACCCAGACGACCCCCAGCTCCCTTTTCAGAGCTCTCTAGGCCCCCAGTGGAGTTACATCCTGTTTCTGTCTAGCTCATCCTCCTCCATGCTCCTTGAAGGGCAGAAGGGTTAAGTGTTTAAAGAAAGCTGCCTCTGGGTGGTTAAAGGACATTCTGGGGGCAGAAGGTCAGTGACATCCATGCTCCATAGATTAGGGAAAAAAAACCTACCCAGCTCTTCTCGCCTCTGGGGTAAGGAGTCATAAATATTTTTAGCTCCTTGTCTGGGTCGAGACAGAGACAGTAAGGGCATGACGGTAACTCGAAAGTAAGGAGCTTGTCCTGCAAGACAATGAGAGACCAGTGTTACAAAATGTGGGGGCCCCTAGGGATGAGATGGTCCCTGAAAATGTTCCCCACTCTCACTATGTATCATTAAAAAGTACATTTTCACACTTGCCCAAGTTGCTTTGAGCTAGAAGACTTGGTACACAGAAGCAGGAGGAAGAAATGGGGGTGTGGGGGGCGTTGGGCATGAGCGTCCCAGGGCAACAACTTTCAAAATGGAACTCCAGTCAGCACGGAGCCTTTTGGAGCCACAGCTTAGACCCTCAAGTGAGACAGTGACCAGTGTGTCAGGGAAGAATGGAGGATTTCCCAGTGCAAGAGCTTATCCAGGAAGCATAAATGGGGCTTTGAATGCCAGGCTGTGTGATTGATGCCTGTGTGTTTCAACCTGGGACAATCAAGGGACTCACGGTACTTCTTCCATTTACTCCAGTTCCACAGGCTGTAGAAAATCACAGTGGTCAGGAGGATGGCAAGGAATCCTGCAAACCCAGAAAAGATGGCGCTGCTCTGGTCTTTGTCTCTGTGAGGAAAAATAAGTGCCATGTCTAGCTGTAGGAGGCTGAGGAGGTCGGAGAAGAGGCTTCCTTCAGGAACTAGAGCCTGAGGACTTGGAATGGGAGCCTGAGATGGGTGGGCTGTGTGGCTGGAGAGAGGGAGGCTGGACACAAGAGAAGGGCACTGTCCCTTTGGAATGCCTGCTGGGTGCCTCGGGTTTGTGTGTGTGTGAAACTCGTTTGATCTTTACAACAGTCTCATCTCTCCTTGGGGCCAGAAACCTGAGATTCAGACTCAGCAAGGCAGAGTAATATATCAAAGATCACACAGTAGGGAGGAGCCGAGATGGAAAGTGAGTCTAGGTCTGTTGGGGCCCAAAGACCATGCTCTTTCTACTGCATCCCCCTGTCCTCCAAAGTTACCAAATCAGGTTCATCCGCCCTTACTCGCCCTCATTCCCTCCTCCTGGGCGTCCTGTCTTGTGTGGAAGGAGGGGTTACCCGCCGTGCAGGGAGGGAGCTGCTCCGTGACAGAGTCTGCCTTGTGGGCATTTGTTCAACCCCCGTTTACCAACTTGTGGAGCTGGTCTCCAAGCAACACTTGCTGTTTTGTGGAACGTAACCAGTGCACATACAAGGGTGAGTTCCTGCTGCTTGTGGTTCCCTGACAGGGCTGGGGTTACTGCCTTGCTTTGCCTACTGTAACGAGAAGTCGCCGGGGGGGGTGGTGTGTGACAGCAGGAGTCTCTAGCAGACCTAAATATTAGAAACCAGATCAGCTACCAGGGGAGACTTTTGTGCTCCTGAGTCCTAGGCTTGTTTACCCAACTTATACCAGACCTTTCCTCTAGGCTGCCCAACGGACATCTCAAACCAGATACATCTGAAACAGAATGCCCGTTCTTCTCCCAGAAGCCTGCTTCTCCTCTGGTGTTGCCCATCAGCTAGCGGGTAGGTCAGAAACCTTGGAGCCATTCTTGACTGCTCCTTTGCTTTCACACCTCGCTTGCAGTCAATGAGCAGATTCCATCTGCTCAACCCTGGGCGTCTTTCCCAAACCCAGTCACTTGTCGCCCCTCCACTGCCACAACCACTCCACCCCTACCCCCAACCCACTGTGTGCTCTGCATGGACCTTTGCAGTAACCTCCCTAAGCGTTGTCTTGCTTTCACTCTTGACCCCAACATCCTATCTTCACATAGGAGCCCGTGTGATCTTCTTAACAGTAAGTCAGATCATGTCTCCTCTCTTCTTGTGACCCATGTGACTTTGATTACACTTGGGATAACAGCCACAGTCCCTACCCAGTGAGGACGTCACGGCACCTTATGTTCTGGCCTCTGCCTACCTTCTTTTTCCTCTTTTTTTTTAAAAAAAAAGATTTATTTAATTAATTTATTAGAGAGAGAAAAAGAGTGCATGTGCGCGCGCATGGGGGAGGGGCAGAGGACTAGAGTATCTCAAGCAGACCCCGGGTGGAATGCAGAACAGACGTGGGGTTCAATTCCACAACCCTGAGGTCATGCCCTGAGCCCAAATCAAGAGCCAGATGCTTAACTGCCTGAGCCACCCAGACACCCCTATGCCTACCATCCGACCTCATTTCCTATCACTTCCCTTCTGACTGCGGCAGTCAGGACTCCTGGCCTGTCCTTGGCCACGAAGAGCACATTCCAGAGGCTCCCTCTCCCAGGTGTCTGGGTATGTAGCTCAGTCCCTCATTTCCCTTGGTCTCTTCTGAAATGTCACCAGCTCAGACAAGCCTATTACTCTCAGGCCCCTTAAGTCTGTTCTGTGTTTTCCTCATACACTTAAGACTGATGGACATTATACATCTCTTTGTTTATCTGTTTATATCTGACTTTCCCATTTGACTGTCAGCTCCAGGAAGCCATGGACTTGTCGATCCTGTTGATCTGGTGACTGGAACAGTGCCTGGCACTTAGCAAGGGCAGGATAGATATTTGTTGAATGAATGAGTGAATTAACAAACATGAATGAACACAGAAGTGAATATTTTGGGGGGGGGTTCAGGGTTCCGACAGCTTTGGAATTCAATCCCCATCAGCGCTCCTGTCCACTTGCAGGGGACACATCTTTGTCATGGTAATCGCATTTATTTCCCTAAACGACAGCAATTTTAAATTGCTGAGTTACCTGTTATCACAGAGCTGAGATTCATAGCTAACAGCTCTTGCCGAAGCTCCAACTGCTGTTGGACTTTTTATTTTTGTTAGTATGATCCTGAAACTTTGAGCAGTAAAATTTATAGCTACGATTAGTTCTGTGAGATTTTATATCCTAAAGATGTATCTTGATCACATCTATGATTATGTTTCCCACTCGTGGAAAGTTTTTAGAACCTCGAAACACATTGTTGAAAAAAACGGGCCTTTTGTTTCCATCATGGTGGGACCTAGTTTCTTTTGGAGGGTGGGGGAGAGTGGTTGTTGGGACCTGAGACAGGAAAAATTGAGGATAGCAATTGGGGCCTCTGCGAGGTGAGAAATCCAGCCAGGCCAGGCAACGAGGTCTTAGGAAATCCTGTGTTAACACGGCTTTCCCTTTCCCCCTGCGACTCCCATTTCTCTTTTAAACCTATTCCTTTCCTCCCAGCGGTCCTGAGCAAGCTTCTCTAAGCCTAGAGTTTGGTGGTCTCAGTGGACCTGAGCATGGTTGTGAGGGCAAAGAGCACTGCTGGGGTAGGAGCCCCCAGGGTTGCCCAGGACTGTCTGTCTAAATCAGGGGAAGGTGGAGCTCATCACCCTGAGTCACTTACCTGTCCAGGCTGCCCTCAGTCACCTGAAGAGTCCTGGCCTCCAAGGTCCTCCCTCCAATTTCGGAAAGAGTCGGGGTGATCATATCCGCTGTCACGGCAACCTCTCTGGCTTCAGCTTCTCCTCCTAAGCCTTTTCTTAATTGTCAACAGCTAACACATGTTGCCACTTCTCCTGGCTCTTCCTAAGTTGCCATCCCCCAGGAGAAAAGGCAAAATTGGTTTTACATACCATCGTAAACGCTTTTTTAAGTAGACAAGACTGATAGAAATCCTCCTCGTCTCCATGTTTTCCAATTTTTCTAGAACTTTCTTTCCCCCCCAAACTTGCATCTCCCTGGCCTCTCCCCCTGAAATGTTAGGCTGTGTGGATCCCAAACACAAAAATGACGACAGGTTTGGTTCTACCTGGATGTGGCTACAGTGCCCACTGCGGGAGGTGAGCGCTCAGCCGGGTGCGGGGCTCCCCAAGAGAGGTGGCTCAGGGAGACGGCATGCTCTCAACCCTCTGGTGCAAGTGTGAGGGGCACAGAGGGGGAAACTGCCAAGAGGCTCGAGAGAGACTCCGTGAGAAACTCATCCTCCCCCAACCCCCAAAGCAGAGAGAAAAGAGCAAACATTTGCCAGAATGGAAACAGAGAGTCGTCACAGGAAACGACACCACCAACATGCTTATGAAGCACGGGGCACAGGAAATGCTGCTCAGCTATAATAAGAGAAGAAAACATGTCTGCAGCCCCTGTTCCCCAGGTTGGCCAGGAGCGCTGTGGACTTGTCGGTGTAGGGAGTGTGACTAAAGACGGGGCAAGGTGGTGGGCTTTTTCTATTTCTCTATTTCTATTTCTCTATTCTATTTCTCTGGGCTTCTACAGGGGGACAGGCGGTTTTCATCAACACTTCCCGGGTGATTTTGACAAAGCTGGTCTGTGTTTCACATTTGGAGACTCTCTGGAGATGACGCTCAGAATGGAGCCCGTGCTGGGGCAGCCGGGGCCCTGAAGGCCATTCCTTCTTGAAGCCCTGCCCTCCCTGGCCTCTGGCCGCCTTACTCTCGCAGGGCTCTTCTGGAGATCTATCCCAGTCCTGCTTGCTGTGCACCCGTTTCAGAGGCCGGACCCCTCATTCCCCGTGTCGACCCAAAGTGTCCCAAACTTAGACAGTTGTTCAAAATTTGTTTCTAGCTGCCTTCTCTTTCCTTTACCCATCTCCTGAAACTCTTTGCAACTTGGGGGAGTCCAAAGAGAAGGGGTCACTGAGACTTTCAGGAGGCTGTGAAGGGCCTCTGACCAGGCTTTCCACAAGGAAATGGACTCCCAGAGGGCTGGCACGGAAGACAGCCAGTGCCTCAGCACCATGGCCCTCCCCCATCTCTTCCCAGTGGACAGCAAGGCCCCCAGTTTCCAGGGGCTGTCTACCCCTGCCCTATGCATCCAGGCTCTCACAGGCCCCCAGGGGAGAGGGGCTGCGGTTGGGAGAGTGGGTCCTGCCTGGCTCTCCCGGGAATACTGCCTTCCAAGTCCTTTCTGCCCTCCTTCCACATGGCCTTACCTGGCAGGAAGCGGAGGCGATTCCAGAGGCAGCTGGTTCCGAGAGCTGGAATCTGGGTCTCTGCCCGCTTGTCCTCTGGAATGGGTCTGAGTAGAACTAGAACTCCTCAGGAGAAAAAGATCCCTCGCTCCCTGGCCCCTGTGGCCGGGACTAGTGGCGAGACAGCGAGGATCCCCGGACCTATCCCGAGCCACTGGTACCAGCAGAACGCTGTGTGTGAACCGGGAGCTTGGAAGGCAGTATGAAGAGAAGGGCCAGCGGGACCAAGCCTCAGAACCCTGACCGCTACTTAAAAAAAAAAAAAAAATTTTTTTTAAAGAAATTCTCCTGCATGATCATTTTAAGACTTCGCTCTTATCTACCCAGAGTGCTTGAGTCAGACTAATCTTCCCTCCGGTCTCCTGACCCCTCCTCCCCCCACACTTGAGGGAAGCAACCTTCTGAACGGAGGCTGTGCCGTGGTTTCCAGACCGGGTTGAGTCCTGCCACCTACTCTCCTTTCCCTCCAGCCTTGCCACGACCAACCAACACAAACCTGCTATGTGAAATCATTCATCATGATAATGGCAGAAAACTACTCATTCCCGGGCAACAGGGCACATGTTTTAAACGTGATTGCTCTGGGGACGCCTGGGTGGCTCAGTTGGTTGGACGACTGCCTTCGGCTCAGGTCGTGATCCTGGAGTCCCCGGATCGAGTCCCGCATCGGCCTCCCAGCTCCACGGGGAGTCTGCTTCTCCCTCTGGCCTTCTCCTCGCTCATGATCTCTCTCACTGCCTCTCTTTCAATAAATAAATAAAAATCTTAAAAAAGAAAAAACCCGATTGCTTTGGTGCTTCGCTTTAGCCACTTTTAATGATTTCAGGGTTCAACGTGACGTATGATCCTAAAGTACTATGATTAGGGGCGCCTGGGTGGCTCAGTTTGTTGTGCATCCGACTCTGGACATTGGCTCAGATGTTGATCTCAGGGTCATGAGTTCAAGCCTGGCATGGAGCCTACTTGAAAAAAAAAGTATCAAGATTGGTTTTAAACAACAGAACTTGTGCCTCCAAGTCAGCAAAACCCCTTGAAGGGGAGGGGTTTGCCCCAACTCAGCGATGTTTCTAATACTAAAAACCTTTCAGAATCCTCTGGAAAGACAGAAGTGCTGTGTTAAGAGCATCCACACAAGTTCGGACCCTACGTGACGGCTAGGGTTATCTGGGACAGGTCCTCTAATCTTTCTGGGTGTTTCCTTGGGTGTAAAATAGCAATACCACTACTTAGGCACTGCTGTTGTGAAAATTAATTGGGCTAACAATGAAAATGCTCGGCTGAGGACTTGGCATATGCAAGCTCCTTCGGTGGGGGATTTTGTTAATCTGACTATCTCATTAGGCTCTGGGCTCGGATCTTTACACTTTAAGGATTGCCCCCTTCGGCCTTTCTCTCTTCCTTTCTTGATGCTCAGCCTGCCTTCCTGCCACATATCCTTTTATACCTTCGGTGCGGATTTACGGGAAGTGTCCCACCATCTGGCATTGGGCATCCCGAGTTTGCCCATGTGCAGTGCGTTTAGGTCCGCAGGCCATGCTAAGCCTTGGTGAGCACACCCGGCTCTTGTCACTTCCATGCTCTGGGCTTTTGCAGTGGTTCCTTCACTGTGACTGCAGTTCCTCTGTCTCATAAAATTCCAATAAAATCCATCTGAAGAGTTTATACTGGTTATCTCCAGGTTGTGGGGCTTGAGGTATTTTGCTACTTTCTTCTTTGGACTTTTATTGCTGAATTATTATAAAGATCAGGTGTCATTTAAAAAATTTTTTGATTAAAAAAAATAACATTGTAAGTGTCACCACCTCTACGAAGACTTCCCCCTCCGGAACTGGGTTTTGCCCTTCTGGGTCCCCACGGCAACCAGGCTCGATACCTCCGGATTGTTGGGATTAGTTCTTTAAATGCCTGTCTCCTCAAGTAGCCTTTGAACCCCTCTGGGACAGGGACTTTGATTTATTGAATTTCTGTGGATGCCTGGGGGGGGGGTCAGTCAGTTAGGCATCTGCCTTCCGCTTAGGTCATGATCTCGGGGTCCCAGGATCAGGTCCCACATTGGGCTCTCCACTCGGTGGGGAGTCTGCATCTCCCTCTCCCTCTCACTCTGTGCACGTGCTCTCTCTCTCAAATAAAAAAATAAAATGAAATCTTTATTTATTGCATCTCTGGCATCTGGCCCAGTGCCTGACTGGTCTCTTAGGGGCCTACTGTCGCTGGGAATTTATGACCCTGAGTGTGTAGCAGGGGGAGCTACTGAGAAAGAAATGGGCGTCTGGTATTTTGTCCTACTGTGTGCTCAGCTGTGAAGGAAAGAGACAAGCCTTGCATGGCCCTTGCTGCCCCTTGTAGGAAGGGCGACGTGGCTCCTGTGTTGGGTCTCCTTTGCCCCAGGAAGAGGTGAACAGTGGCTTTTGTATTTCTGGGCCCCCAAATACCAAAGTTGCCCTGTGTGAAAGACAGCTCCAGCCAGGCTTTGCTCTTGAAGGTTTGGGGGCTGAGACAACCCTAGCCGGTGACAGCTGCAGCCTTAAGGGTGGCAGTCCTCTATCTCCTTGCTCACTTGCTTCTGGGCTGGAGGCCTGCTCCAGTCCGGGCAAGTCTGAAACCGAGAACAAAGGCAGCAAATACTTCCATTTTAAGTTAAAGTTGAGAGAGAGCAGGGTTAGGACAAAAAGATTTGGAAAGTATGAAGGATTTCTCTGCTCCCTGCCCCCATTCTGCCCGAGGCCCTTGAAGAGCAAGGGGAGAATTTGAAAGCAAGGAGTGTGAGCGTTCTCGGGAATCGTTTGAACTCACTTAGGCTGGGCCTTGGTGGAGGAGGTGGGCTGGCATTGCTGACAGGCAAGAGAACCCTTTCCTTAACGCTGGCGTCCTGAGAGCGGGGCAGACCTCTGCCCCTGGGTCCTTCTGGAGTCTGTGCTTGGCAACCCCCCCCGCCCCCAGAGCCCTGGCAGTGGCAGAGCTACGGAGATGAGCGAGCTGTGAGGCATGTCCCGATGAGCAGCTATCTTGCTGACAGCCCCAAGTCTCCCCTTAGCCCCAGGGCTGCGGGCACGCTGCTTCCCCTCAGCCAGCCCACACACGCAGGGAAGCTCTGACCCTGGGGCTCTGAGCAGGAAGGGGGCCTCTCCTCAGCAGCACAGGGGTGGGTGGGCAGTCACAGCAGGGATCAGATGAGGCCCAGCCTACCTCAGAGGAGGCCTGAGGGCAGAGGCCCCGAGCGGGGACGAGCCAACCAGTGTGGCAATAGGAGTGGGAGGCTGGAACAGGAAGGGCACAGGTGGAGAGGGTTTTCTTTGTTCCCTTCTTGCGTGAGTGAGTAGAATGTCATTTCCGTCACTTCATTAACCCGGGCGTTCCCGAACTCTGGTGACGAGTCATAGATGTGAATTTTCTTGGAACAAGCATTTTCTTTTCACTCTTCTGTGTGTCATAGGACACCAGCGTGACAGGGGGCTCGGATTTACCTGTATCCTTCAGTATTAAGTTGGGCCCGCACGTGTATGGCACTTGCACCCGTCAAATCTACACTGTCCTTCCGCTTCCCGCAGCTGGCAGCCACAGGACTGTCCCTTTAGCCAGAGGGCACATCACTGCAGTCCGCAGGTTAACACCTTCCTGCTCTTTCCTGATTCATGAAAGCCAACCTTACGATGGCTTCCAGGCTTGGCCGGGCTCCCAGCTCCCTGCCTGCCCTTCCCCGCTCAGTGACTCCATTCCGACTCCTGTCTCCTCTGTATGTCCTCAAACACATCGCGGTCTCCTGCGGCAGGACCTTTGCCCTTGCTGGGCCCTTTGTCTGGAATCTCTTTATTTATCTAGCTCACATACTTATCTAGCTCACTCTCTGGCTCCCTTCACATATCTTCACGAATATCTGTTCGTCAGAGAGGTCTTCTCTACAGAAGAGCAACCCTTGGGGCGCTGGGGGGGCTCAGTCAGTTGAGTGTCTGACTCTTGGTTTCGGCTCAGGTCATGATCTCCTGGGTTGTGGGATCAAACCCCCTTTCAAGCTCAGTGCTCTGGGGCATCTGCTTGAGATTCTCCCTCTCCCTCTACCTCTCTCTCTTTCTCTAG